AAAACATAAGAGAGAGTAGAATAGATCTTGGTTGAAAAAATGAGATAAATCAATAAAACAGAAAAAGACATTCGTTATTGCTGTTTTCTTCAACATTTTTTGCTTCAACAAAATAGTAATGATAATAACTAACTGAACACAATTGCTGAGAAAATACTAGTAATTTGGCGAATTTCTGACCGGCAGAATAAAAACCTGTGGCCTTTGGCACACATTTTTGGATGATTTAGTAGAATTAAATACACGTTTTCTTTTGAATATTATCCAGAAATAAATTCAGTCTAAAACTAAATTGTTTCTGAGAATAAAAATGAGGCCGTGACTTCTATAAAACAAAAAAAAGTAATGATCAATAAATAAATAGTTCTATAAATCATCTAAATTCTATTTTCTTTTTCATAAAAATACTAAAATCTATTTCGAATTGAACAAAAATTGGTATTATAGCATTCGATGTTAGATATGGGTCCTAAATATTAGGAATGCTACGAAAGGAATTATAAGATTGGCTGTATGACATGTGGCTTCACCGTAGCTGATGCGATTTCCGACATTTTTATGTCAATCGGAACACGTGTGTCATAGAGTGTTGGTGCCTGCAAAATAATCATAACGGTGCAATGTAATTGAACGAAAATCCAGTTAAATTGAAGAGTGCATACCTGTAAAATGATGCCACACGTTCCTACAATTACAGCAATTGAAAATAACCACAAAAATAAACGATCCAATACCATTGCCACATATTTCCAATCCTCTTTCACCTGTTAAAATTGTTTATTATATTAAGAGGATTATTGTTTTCTAAAGGGGCATTTTGTTAAACATTTTTTTTAGCGAAAGCAATGATACAAAAAAAAAACAAGAGAGAAGAAAGAAGTCATTTCGTAAAACCATTGCGAAAAACAAAAACGTCAAGCAAATGTGTTAAATAATAAATGTTTACCTTAGTGCTTTCCTCTTCCTTTCTGGTATGGTCTGCAATATAGTTGACACCATCCATGGCTTTATGTAGTTCGGGGCATGCTTGCCATCGATGACGCAGTCCGCATCGATCATCGTTTGTTTGTTCCTGTTGACTGAATGAGCGATGTATGGATTTAAAATTTGAATGAGATGCTGAACTGCTTGTTCCAAATACACCATCGGTATTATACGCTGTATTTATGCCATTTATGCTCCCACTCGTGTTGCCACCATATGATTTACTTTTCTGATTCGAATTTGCGTTCGATGATAAGTTGTCATTTAGTGCATTAAATTGATGATTAACCTGACGTCTCGGTGTCAATATTTTATCATGCTCCATTATTGGTGTTGTTAATATCGGCGAATTTGTACTTGTTTCTTTACAGTATGTTAATGGTATGTCGTCCATTAGATCTAATGTATGTAATCTATGTACGGGTGATATTGTATTTGTTGCTTGATTCTTGGGACTTCCACCATGCAATTTACACGATACATTCATATTAAATGATTCCATATTCCTATATTATAATTTCATAATTTAAATGAGATCAAGCCCGTTTTAATTAATTTCAAGAAAATTTTCATTGAATGAATGAATTTGAAAAAAAAAAAAACAGCTTAAACATGTGCGAAGTGAAAATCATTTAAATGCCTACACCTGCACATCATGTAAAACGTCCAGAATTTATGCGATGCTTGAATTTGAAGGATTTTACATTCACACGTCCATACACGTTTGCGTGCGTGTTAGAATTTCGAATATATTTGAAATTGCAAATACCGTTTCGATTTAAGCTGTTTATGTGTGCATGTGCAAAATTATATAGTTATTTAAAGAAGAAAAATACCTTTCGCACACGTTCATTATGTGATGATCAAGCAATAAGCTTGAATCGAAGTTTGATAGAGCAATTTCTGGAGGCAACGGTGGAATTTGATCCCTTAACTCTAAACCATTACACGTTCGCATCATAAATCTTCGAGATGCTTCACTGAAGCTAGTAGATATTCAATCATGTTTTCCATCATATCGATTTTATGCACATTTAATACGAATTGTCCATCATTCAGAATTTATAAAGATTCCAAGTAGTTTTTTTTTTCGTTCATTGTATTTGCGCAAGAGAATGACAAAATAAATGCAACAAAAAAATGTCTTGAGTTATATGAGACCTATGATTTTGCTATGTGTTTTGCGTTAACATAAATCTATGAAAAATGTTAAAAAAGAAATAATTTAGTACATACCCCAAACCATTATATGGATAAATCGGGCGACGCATTACTAATAATTTCGGGAGATGATTTATAAACACTGCTCGAACCCATGGCGACATCGTATGCGTTTGCGGTGATCGAAAGTGAACGTTAAGACTTGAAACGAGACCAGTATATATACATATATTAAGATACACTTACACTCAAAGATAAAACATAAACATGAGATTTATATACTTACACCAAGACAGTAACACATATACTGAACGGTTGACGAAGATGCATGGATAAGAAATTGGAAAATAGAAAGAAATTATTGTATTGCATGTAATCTGTCATGTTATCGCTGGAGATTTCAAGAGCTACAAATTTAAAGTATTATCTTTATTTAAGCTGTGAACTTAAGCTTTTGCAGCTTATCATACCATTAGAAGATAACAGATTATGGTTAAAAGAAAATTATGAAAATGTATGCGTTACAGAGTAAACATAAAATGTGTTCATTTCAAACATCAATTTAAAGAAAAATATCGCAAAAAATACAAAAATATTCTATGCTCATCAGTGGTTGTTGTTCGCTTGAAGTTTCTTCGTAATCGAAATTGTATTTAATAATAGATTTTCAGAAACGAATTTTTTGAGCTGTATTTTTTAAATATATGAACTTATTGAAATGTAACACCGCCATAGAAAAAGTGCTGACTGTCAGTATATTTTGTATTGCGATTTTACATTTCAATAAGTTGTGAATAGAAGTCTCGCTTTCATTCTCGGGCAATCATATAAAAATAACATTTTAATAGATGGAATTATTCGGAACATCTTCAAAGAATGAACCAAATTCTTATGCTGACGCAGTAATGTCAAATCCCAAACGTTACAAATACGCAATTGAATTTTCCAGACAAAACCCACGAAGTAAATGATTTCGGCGTTTACAGCTCATAAATGAAGCTTTGTAGGCTGATACCATCCTGCTGGTCCTGTGGTACCATCTTTCAGACAAGGATCAGACCAACCTACAAAGCTCCAGTGATGAGATGTAAACACCGAAATAACCTGGGATACATGTGGGTACTAAGCTGACTCAAAATAAATATGAAAAACATTGTTATTAAACACCCCTACAACATCCAAATGATTTTGCTAAAATTAATGTATTTACATTTTTCGAAAAAGGCAGTAGCGTACAAAATCCACGAGGATAGAAATCATATACCCGCGATAAACAGAAAATATAACCAACAACAACAAAAACAATATCTTTTTCAATTGACTAATACTTGAAAATATCCAAATTTATTTGTTATCAAAATTATTCGTAGCAACCATAAAATCTCCATTATCATATCTTCTAAAATACAAAAAAACGCGTTCACATACCTCACTGTATCAAGAATCATTGTGAATAATACGAATTTTCCGAGAAGTGGTACGACTAATGATGTCGGCGGAATGATTTCCGCCAGCAGCAAGAAGAACACAGTAAGCGATAGCAAAATGGATATACTTAATGACACCTGCAATCAAGAAAGAGAGCTCAATCAACTGAAACGCCGATGTAAATCGAAATCATAAGTTCAATATTAAGATAAAAATTATGTTTTCACATCAACCAACGCATCAAATCACTATAAAACGAACTCTTTTTTGCTGTTCACATTTTGCCAACAATTTGTTGTGAACGAAGTCTTAATGTCGTGTGAAAGGACTATTCTACAAAGGGGAAAAATCCCTGGAAAATCAAAACTCGTATTTCCAATTTTCATCGCGTGCAAACCATTCGCCACAAATATAAAATGTGATTGTAAAAAACTTACAACTGTTCATGTTGCAAATAAATCCGATCTTTTATATCTTAATTTTGTAGCATTAAATTTCAGGTGTGAACGCATAAATAATGTTGCTTACCTTTTCACCACTGTCACTTGGCAAATAAAATACTAGTATTGTTAAAAAACTTATTCCCATGCACGGTATGATTAAATTAACGGTGTAAAATAATGTTTTACGACGCATTGTAATGTTGAAAGTTATATCCAGATATGGTTCATCGCAGCATGTGTAGAACTTTTCATTTCTAAAAAGAGAACAAATAATATGTTTAGCATTATTTTCTTATTTAAATTCCGTTCGAATGTGACATTCATTCAACAAAAAAAAAAAAACACAATCGCATCAAAAAAATTCATTAATATCATGAATTAATAGAATAACCGTTGTCAAGTTTACAAAGCAAGGTCGTAATAACAATTCGATCAATTATTGATATCAAACATGAATTTTCGTGTGAAATGTTAGGCCTTAAATGTGTGACATCATATAATAATAAACGAATCAATACATTACGCAATCAACTATTTATAGTGTGTGAGCCACAAATTAATTTGCATTTTGCGTTTAGTGTTTTCTTCAAAACAAAAGTAGGTGAAATGTTTGTATACGAATTCAAATCTATTGTGTATTAAAATCAATGATATAAGTTAAAAAAAAAAGCAACTGTTTTGTTTGGTATAACGTTGTGCATTGAATACTGAATAATAATGATGATCCAAATTGTAACACTTTACATGGATCATCTCAATCACGTTTGCCTCTATAAATTTTAATTCATGACTCGAACCTCAGACTTTTGTATGGTAATATCCACTTTTGCTATCGTTTAAATTTGATTATTCCACGAACACCGACCATCAAGGCTTGAAAGTACAGCGAACGCAATGATTTTTAATGTGTTATGTCCTACGCACATAGAAGATTACTTGTGTACATGCCGCTGTATTCCAAATAAATTTCTAATTAAAAAAAGTGGACAGTTCTTCCAAAAATGTCGTCCTTACTTCTGAATCACGGACCGTGAATCATGGTGGCTTCAGCCAATCAAGATTACAACTCATTTGATAGCAAAGAAGTGTACTACAGAAAAAAATGCATTTGTCAATAAACCGGTAATGGCTTACAATGAATACTAATAAGAGATTCAAATGACACATATATAAATAGAGTTGCTCGCGATTTTGATAAATCATTTGTGAATTGAACATTGTGTAAGTCGGTTGGTTTTCGATTTAATTATTCGTTCAATAGTGCTGTGATTATTTTGTGTGTTTTTTTTCTTATTTTAGATACGCTAAAATGATTAAAATCGTGCTTTTTGTCTGGAGTGTTGGTTTTTGCGTGTGTGATCAGCCATCATGGAATGTCGGCTATAGATATAGTGTGCCGTTAGGAGAATATGGTGCACCGCCACTACCAACACCATCGGTTCAGGTTTCAAAGGAAAATGTTCAATTTGTCGAACAGACAGTGGAAATCAATACGCCAAGTAATCGTTATCAACCGTCACAGTCATCTCAATTTAAACCATCAAATTCACCCTCGGTTGTAAGTAGTAATTTTTTGCCAATTGACATCAATACTGATTAAATAGTAATGATTTTTAATGATGTTTTTTTCAAATTCAATAAGGCATTTTTACCAAAACCAGACCCGCCGAAACCATTCCGTAGTTCAATCCAAACCAATGCCAAATTCTCGAAGCCACGACAATCTGGACTTATCCAGCAACAAAGAGCACCTCTTGTGGCACAACTATCCAAACAAATACTTTCGACTGAATATGGTGCACCTCCGGCAAACTCATATCCCTATCCACCATCGATTTCCGCTCCCTCTCCACCAGTTCACGAAGTGGTAGATGATACACCTCTACTAATTGAAGATGATGAAGAAAACGACACAACCGATCCCACCGTTATTGCTGTTGCTAATGCAAGTGGACGTTATTATATCCTCGGAAAGGACAATACACTTCAACGCGTCGTTTATAAGACTACACGTACTGAAGATGATAACGTTCATAATGGATTCACAGCTCATTTGGAATATTCACCGGTGGAACCAATTCGGGATCCAGTTTACGGCTATGACGAACAAGGTCATTTAGTACGAATTTATAATAAAAAGTAAATTGATTGTTTTTTTTTTTTCGTTTCTCTCAACATTAAGTCGTACATATTGCAAGCGTGTGTGTCCAAAACAAAACAGATAGTTTTGCGAATGTGTCACATACATATTTTTATATGTGCAAATGTATAGGTTTATGTAGAAGATTTAATGTTTGTGCACTTCAAAAGTGTTCCATAAATGCGAACCATTTTGGAATGCAAAGTAAGTACATTTCTGCATAACTTCATTTAATGTGGAAAATTGTAATAATTTATTATGTGTCCAGTGATTGGCAAGAGTGACAAAATAAAAAAAAGACTATATAAATATAACGTTTGTTTGTTTTTTTTTTCTTCTGCGAACATCCAGATTTCCTTTTTTTATGTGAGTGGGTATATCATACATAATATATAAATGAACTTATATTTCAATTGCATTTTACTTTGTTGACCTGATAACAGTTTTATTTTTATGTGTCTGTAAAATGCAAAGAAATGACCTTATTCGTGACATGATTTCAAGTGTGAACTAAAAATCGATATTTTCCATTAGATGGTGTCTAGTGCACTGTGTACAACTTTTTATTCATTAAACTTTCTCTCTACAATTCAATGCACATGTTTACATTTCTACATGGGAAATCCTGTCCAATTCAGTCAAATTAGCATAAACAATGTGATACATTGGAAGCGGAGTTTTCTTAAGCCAGATAACTTTTCAAGCATTTCACATGGGATATTGAAAGTTTTGCGTAAATAAGATTATGTATCGGTTACAATTCACGTCCGACCGGCAGCTGAATAGTTTCCGGAACACCAACTTTTTAAATTTAAACATGTCTTATATTTGAAATTACCATCGTGTCAAAATCGAAGACCCTTTTTTATGTTAACGTTTATTTCACATTTTGTTTGCCTTTACTCTAGATTTCAACGAACCATCCAGATTCATCATTGAATTATTGAACATAATTTAAATCTGCTTAATACGTAGGAGTTAAAGTTATGGTCGTAACACTCACCTAACGGCGGGTACCTCCAAAATGTCCCACTCAACAGATTGATAAAATTCTGTTAAATCGACGCCAACCTAAAGTAGAAAAAATGCTGTGGTAAGAACATTTTCAAACCAGTTTTTTCGTCAATTTGTTTTTTGTACGTAGTTCAGATGTGTGTTCAGACGTTACCGCCCCAAGCAATCTTTTCCACATCATTATTTTCTGTAAATCTTTCACATTTTTGTTTATTGAGCACTTACCTCAACTACATTTGTCCCATTGAGTTCATCGTTATGTCTGAGATCGACCTATAAAATTAACGACTCAATCATTAAACTAGTTTTTGGCACCTTTTTTTTTTGTATTTTGAAAAAGCTTGCGAATTATAAAATTGCCTGAGCTGAGTAAAAAAAATATATGAAACATTACTTGGAATCCATCATACGTCCAAGATCCAAACTTCATCACACATGTCTGCATGAAAAAAAAGTGATTTTGAAATGGTTATGTTCTGAATCTGTTGAATGTTTTCAGACTTGTGCGTAGGCCATTTGCTCATTGGATATTTGCTCGCCGCAGTTGTCTTGGAAGACAATAGGTGACTGAATCACAATAACCTTTGTAAGGCTTACGCACAGATTTGACTACTTCCATTGAATACTACAAAAAAAATACATACCTGTTCATCAAACGGAAAATACTCGACGTCAATTTCACACGAACTTTTATAAATGGCTGGTGGCCTCCACTCGACGCGACCTATTCATTGAAAATAGCATCATTTGAATCGTTGCGGCGAAAGAGTAGCTCTTATTTTTCTCCAAATAATACTGCAACATAAAGTTTTTTATGAATAGTTTATTTGTTGTATTACAACAAATAAACCGTGTGAAAAAAACTTCATGTTGCAGTATTATTTGGAGAAAAATAAGAGCTACTGTTTCGCCGCAACGATTCATTTCATGTCCGAATATCACAAAGAATGATACACGATTTAAAAAAAATGCATACCTGTATAGTTTAGAGTGGCCTTTGTGGAAAAATTAAAAATTAATATAAAGGAAGTATTAGGTTATAGCAACAAATAGTTAACAAGTGTTGAGTACCTTAGTTGCGAGTGTCACTTCAAAATTTCCATCGGCACTTTATGAATATTTAAAACAATAGTGTCAGAATGTGATATATAAATGGCAGTCATTGAATTCATAAGTATCATTCATGCGAATAAATGTGCATACTTTGGAATTTTAAATATATATTTAAAAAAAAAACGGGAATGTGGCTTGAATACTTACTTGTTGTATAGCTAGTTGAGAATCAGACAGGAAGTACATAGAGTGTTAGTCAGTTCAACGATATAATAAATATTAAAATAGATGGTAGTTTTGTATTTACCACAATATCTGGACGCCAAATGTGATCGCTTGGAACGTGTAGCATTTCAACGCCACCATATTCTCTCGGTTCCCACTTCGAACAAAAAAAGGATCTCTTACAAATGTTGTTTCTCAAAATGATATCGTTGCCTCTTACCTTCAATTTATAATCATACCATGACTGTTCGACCCAGAGATTTGTTGTCATAATTTGGTTCTTTAAATTAACATCAATAAGTTGACTAAGTTTTAATTTTATTCGAACTGTAAGCGCATCTGACACATTGACAACTGGGCGGACCAATTTGTTATAATTGCTAAGTAAATCATCGTAAAGACGTTTGGCATCCGGATTGCATCCACTGACTGAATCGCAGATAAAAGATATAAAAGATAACGAAATTTTACCAAAAGACGAATTTAATATTGGTTTCCGGTTTTGCATGCAACAACTTTTGCGTATTGAAACCGACTTGGTTATTGCATTATAACATGAAAACAACATTTCCAACTTAACAAAATCATGCTGTGAGATAAATTCAAATTTTGGGTGCTCTTTCAAATGCATGCATTCAGAACAAATTTTACCAATGGGAAACAGTTGTTTTTTTCGTTGCCTGAATCCATTTAAATTTACATGTTACCAACGAATAGTCGAATTCAATTTTTGTCCATAAGCAATGTAGATTCAGTTTTCGATGAGTCGCAGAATAGAGTTTGTTTATGGCAAATGCCGTTCAAGAAAGGGTGGTAATATTGACTCGTGTATTTGAATGATTAGACTGGCAGTATATTTAAATTTTTATACGCTGAATATGTCGTTTTTTATATCTATTACTCAAAGAATCTTGCTCTCACTTATGGACTTTTCGGAACAATTGTCTAGAGTAAATGAATCTGTTGGTCTAAAAAGATAATTTTACAATCATATAAGAGCGTCTTTTCTTATCTCAAAGTCTAACCTAAACGAAAATGAATCTTTTTGGTTTAAATGTCATTGTTTAGTTTGAAATTTTCCAAATATTGATATCAATCTGCAAAAATATGTCTGATTTTCTGTTGAAATTTTATAATCATTTTTATCTTCAAACATTATCATCGTCGCTTTCATTGGTCGACTGTGACCAAACGCATTTAATTAGTCTTATCTTATAGTTCAGTTTGAAGTTACTTCAGTATTTGATGCGAAAACCTTGTCGCTCCGTAATAAATTGAATTTAATTGAAAAATCTTACATTTGAGATGAAAACTCAATAAAAAGTGCAAGTTAAGTTAAATACAACAATTTTACTATCGAAAATAGTCTATTGTCTGATACTGTTTCTTTAAATTGAATTCGACAAAACGTGCTCTTGTTCGTCACTCAAAAGTCTGACTACCATATTCTGGTATACATCTCATCGGTAGTAAAAAAAATGCTCGAATATATGTATCAATCACACTACATAGCTCTAAAGAGAATTTAAAAGCTAGCCATGTTTTCCAATCAACGTTGGGTTTTTTTTCAATTTGACATAATTTTACATGTATTTACCTGTTATCGAAATTGCCAGTAGGAAAAATCTCGGAAACCACTTCATCTCATTTCCTGAATATCGGAGCACAAATGAAATGTTTTTGTGTAGTACACCTTATTGTTGAACACACACACACACACTTTAAAAATATTTTCTCTGACTAATTTTGAAAGCACTATCGTTTAATCCCAGTAAAAAAGGTTCACAATTTTAAATCCTTGCATATTAAATCCACCTTTTTGATAAAAATGGCAGTTGACATAATAAAAAAAGCAAACATAACATTTGAATTAAAATAAATAACTAATTTGTACAGTTACTTGTTAAATACTCTCTTGGCGAACCCAAATAAAACATTGATTAATGTGTTGGATAAAAGGTGCATTATTATCAATTATATACAACGCATATAATTTATTTATATTTCACATTGCTTTCATTTATTTTTGTGAATCCTGAAAAGAGAAACAAAATAAATTGCTTTTTTTTAGATATTGTTCGCAAGATTTTACCGAGATGAAAACTGTCAAAATCTTCTTTAGAATGAAAATTGTGTTGGTTTCCAATTGTTTTGCCGTAAATTGTGTTTTTTGTTTTTGGCGCAATATTTCACCACAAATCAAAGCTAATTTGCATTTGTCTAAGAATTTCTGATTAAGAAAGAAATGTCAACGCATTGTGGCGCAACCGCACTTAAAGTAGCACTTTTTTTTACAATCTATTTAATTATTAATTGAAATAATAATGTGAATTTTGTTTAAACTGTAATAAAAGCGAGAGCATTATGTATTTTAAAATAATGGCCTCATTTGATGCATTTGAATGAAGCGTGTGCAGATTTGGAAAGATCCGCAGTATAACAATGCGTCCTAGCTAAGAAATACTTTTTCTTTTCTATGGCCTTGCTCTTGTTTTCTTTTATGTATAACACATTGCAATAAAAATTAGTAAAAAAAGAGAGCACAAGCCCTGATTTTAGTTTTCTTTTATTACACAGAGTGTTAGGAAACTTCAAACATTTTGTGGACACGATATGGATGGTATATAAGGAATATTTCTTATGACTTTTTCGAACAGTTATGTGTTATTTATCACAAGGTACTCAATTGAACATATCTGAACCCACTTTCATCTCTTGGACATATTTGTTTTTTTTTTTGTTACTTTCACCATGGATGTTCGTGATTTGCTATTGATTATGAGTTTGGATCGTATTTTTCCTTACTCATCATCTCATTTACTACTTTTTATTGCACTGATTTTGTCTTGACATTTCAATGCTACAATTTCATTTGTTATATAAAAAAGTATAAAGATTTCAAGTATTGTAAACTATTTTGATGTTGCATATCTGAGCATCTTTCGAGAATTTTAAGATGTCTTTCAAATATAAAAGGTTTCGATGGAAAAAAAAGTTTTGAAGATTTCACTTGTAATGACACTTTGTGTTTTGTGAATGTATAGCTTTTTTTGATAAATAAATAACTATGTGATGGAAGTTTTTTTGGGTGATAATAAGCTTCATGGTATAAATATGGAAAAATCAGTCATCAGCCACCAACAATTATCGAAGAATATATTTCATTGTTATCAAATAACAATCGCACCATTTGACAAATGAATAGATATTTGCATGTCAGACATGTAGTTACCATCATTCATAGAATACGTTTTAATTTTTTATACGACTAAATTCATTTCGAACAATGTTTGCATATGTAATAAACTTTATTTTATAATCAACAATAAATCTCGGCGTTGAGCTTATTTTGGCTTCTTTGTTTATTTTAAGAATCTTCACTTTATTCGTCTATGGTTAAATCGTCTAATAAAGTTATTAGACTCGCATGCTCGTTTATTTCAAGATCAAACCACTCGCTTGCACGCCTCACTTGTAACTGAATCTGAATATCTCCATGGATGGAGCGATGCATCCTTTTTACCGCTGGATGTTCTTCATGCACTGACATATGCTATCGCCCATCGACAGGACTCTTTTTTTCTGCTTTCAATCCACATTTGTTCAAGTTGCCCGATGTGATTCATATATACATTTTTTATTTGAACACATCTTCCCATTTTTTTTATCGTCAGTTTGTGTGGTACTGTGTTTGCGTGAAGAATGGATTTTTTCCATGATTTGTAAGAACATAAAATACGATGTTTACTTTTGAAATATAGATTTTGTTGAATGAATAGAGAGAGAAAGAGAGAAAGATAATCGAGTGGAATCGCTTGTTTGAATAATATTTATTTAGTAAATATCGTGTGACGGAAAAGCTTCCAAAAATAAATGATGATTTAAACGGATGCAATATATATATAGATATAATCCAACTGAATTATCGGAGCGCTTTTAATTGTATTCGTTCTGATATTGAGTTAGCTGAGTAATAATTTTCATAAATTTAAATTGCATCAGTAAACTGCAAATAATCATTTAGTATTATAAATGAAATATCATTTGAACATTGTAATGAGTGTATTTCATTAATAAAATTATGATATTGGAGATGAGAGTGTCGCTGTCGCTACGGCACAGTTCATGAGATTCAAAATAAAATTTCGATAATATAATACGGTAGACGGATGATATCGCAATCGCGTACGCATTTCGAATAATCAAAATCTATATCTATACCAACGTGTGTATACATATGTTATTTAAATGCTTTTACACTCTGGAATGTTTTATTGTTTGCGTCAACGCATGTGTTTGTTTCCATTGCACGCGCGAACCCATTGGAATTTTATTGCCGAATTCGCCGTTCCGTTGTTCGGTTCGTACGTAACGATGGTTTTGTTTGTATTGTACATTTTGTGTATATAGCTGATTTTGTGTCTATGTATATGGCGCCGACGCTTCGTACGCTCGCGAGAATCGAATTTCACATATTATAACCAATAATTACAAAGCATGCGCATATAGAATAGCTTGAAAAATACGTTCCGTGTACATTTGCTCGGTTAAAGCAGTAGCGACAACGCGTGAGAGAACTCTCATCGAAAGCGAAATACAATTCTTATTTGAAAGTAATAGCGAAGAAAAAAAAATCTTTTCCATTTTCACATATATACATAGGTGGCATTATATGTGCAGTTTGCTTTGTATGCTTTTTACAGTGGTGTTCCACTTTCTGTAGTGTGAGTTTTTGTAGACGACAACGCGCAACTCTAACCAGTGTTTGTGTTTCGATTGAAATGCGATTTTACCTCAACGATTTCAAAAAATCTTTAATTTTGTTTACTTTCAGTTTCTGTGGCAAACGAGAATATACGCACAAATTATAAATTGCTACAGAATAAATAGTTCAAAATTGATTTTGTTTCGGAATATCAATACCAATTGTTTGATTGTTATTTTCAACAAATCATTGACATATGCACCCGAAATAAATTGATATTATTAATAGGAATAATTTGATTTGATAAAATTAAACAGAAATCGTTTAAATCAATTTGTGCTAAATTAGTGTGAGTATTTTATAACGAAGTTTAAATAAGCAATTTGCATTTATTTATTGTCGTATTCCATTTCTGATGAAATATGAAATTTTATTAAGTTTGTGACACAGCTGGTGTTTTTTTTTTCTCTTCTCTCATTTCCAAGTGTTTTGATAAGAGTTTCAAATAAGAATTGTAGAAAAACCACAAAAAAATTTACAATGAGAATTTTGAATTCCAAATCTTGGCGATATGAAATAGAGTTGCTTTTAAATTTATTCAACGGAAAGTCATATGTATGGAAATGAGTGGAGTGAGATAAGAACTCTGAAATGAATATAAGTCGAAGTAAAACTAGCCATTAACAACCATTTTTGATACGTATGATTTTGAGCCACAATAATTTCACTATTCACATAGTCTTAATGGCCTAATAGGCGATATATGTGCTATATATAACCATATTCTGAGAATCAATAGCGAAATAAGTGCGTGAAGTCGAATATTTGGATATTATAGTTTTGACATTGGAAGAAGAAGTGGAAAAAAAAAGAAAACTTTTATGCCCATCCATTTCGCAAGTTATATCGAATACATTTAATGAATATGCTTTATGGAAGTGGATATATATAAAAAAAATAAAGGGGGACATAGCCGCGACCTTTATCGTTTTTATTCATTGAATCTGAACTTTTCGGTTGTAAATAATAATGGCGAAAATTTCTCTTTGTATTTGCAGATTGTCAAGTTGTACCGCATTCATAAAATCACCTCCAACAAAGTTGAAAACTAATTACACTTTTATATCCGTTGCTCTTGCATTTTGCCGTTTTCGTTAACACATTCACATACATATTACTCTCAAACCGTTTTATCTTCGTGTAATAAAGTGAGCACTTTGAGTTCATTGAGTTGACATAATGGCCACTCAGCCACCAGTAGCTTGTACACGTTTCTCCGATAACTATGACATCAAAGAGGAGCTGGGCAAAGGGGCATTTTCGATTGTAAAACGTTGCGTACAAAAATCAACGAGTTTAGAATTTGCTGCAAAAATAATCAATACAAAAAAATTAACCACAAGAGATTTTCAAAAATTGGAACGCGAAGCAAGAATATGTAGAAAATTACAGCATCCAAATATAGTGCGATTGCATGATAGCATACAGGAGGAGAGTTGCCATTATTTGATATTCGATTTAGTGACGGGCGGCGAACTATTCGAAGATATTGTAGCGCGTGAATTTTATTCGGAGGCCGATGCATCGCATTGCATTCAACAAATTTTGGAATCAGTTAATCATTGTCATATGAACGGTGTGGTGCATCGTGATTTAAAGCCAGAGAATTTATTGTTGGCCAGCAAACTGAAAGGTGCCGCTGTTAAATTGGCCGATTTTGGTTTGGCCATTGAAGTGATGGGCGATCAACAAGCATGGTTTGGATTCGCTGGCACACCGGGATATTTATCACCAGAAGTATTGAAAAAAGAACCGTACGGCAGAGCGGTTGATATATGGGCGTGTGGGGTGATTCTTTACATTTTATTGGTTGGTTATCCACCATTTTGGGATGAAGATCAACATAGACTATATTCCCAAATTAAAGCCGGTGCATACGATGTAAGTTCAGGAAATTTTAAAGAAAATTGATTTAGTTTTTTATTTTGCAAAATTTTTCTCATTTTCTGTTATTTTTTTCCTGTTTATAGTATCCATCGCCCGAATGGGACACAGTAACACCGGAAGCAAAGAATCTCATCAATCAAATGTTAACTGTTAACCCATATAAACGAATTACTGCTGCCGATGCATTAAAGCACCCATGGATTTATCAACGTGAACGAGTGGCATCATCAGTTCATCGACAAGAGACTGTAGACTGCTTGAAGAAATTCAATGCTCGACGAAAATTAAAAGTAAGTAAAATGTATAGTGGATCAATTCCAAAAGTTAGACTCTTAAACAGTCACTCTGTGATAATTGTCTTACTTTTAACTTTGAATTTCCTATAATAATAATAATTTGAATAATAACAATAAAAAAGGGCGCCATTCTCACCACAATGTTGGCCACACGGAATTTCTCGAGTCGAAATATGATTTCTAAGAAGGAAGATGGTTCGCAAATCAAAGTGTCGACTGACTCTAGCAATACGGTGGAAGAAAATGATGATGTTAAAATTCGCCGGCAAGAGATCATCAAAATGACTGAGCAATTAATTGAAGCTATAAATAATGGTGATTTCGAAACATATGCAAAAATATGCGATCCACATATGACGGCCTTTGAAACAGAAGCTTTGGGAAATCTGGTTGAAGGAATGGATTTTCATAAGTTTTATTTTGAGAATGTACTTGGTAAACATTGTAAAGCAATCAATACCACCATATTGAATCCACATGTCCATTTGCTTGGCGAAGATGCCGCCTGCATTGCATACGTTCGATTAACACAGTACATCGATCGTGAGGGTCATGCGCATACACATCAATCGGAAGAGACACGAGTTTGGCACAAACGCGACGGTAAATGGCAAAATGTACACTTTCATCGAAGTGTTACCGGTCACATTAGCGGTTCGACGCCATTCGATTTTACCAAACATAAATAAAAATCGAACGGAACGATTACCACCAACATCGTCTTTGTACTCAATCCAAATTTGAGAAAGACATAGTCAAACATTATTGCTTTTAAAAACTCACAAAATGGTTTGAGAAAATTGCAATTTTCACACATCAAACTGACCATACTGACCAAAACATATTCAAAATATTAGGAAGAAAGTAAACAAACAAAAAACTAGTCACTTTGGTGCTGAATTTTTCGCAATGATCATTTTTATTTTGTTAGAGAATCGTATTTTATTTCACCCATTATTTAAAAAAAAGAAATCGATGTGTGCACGTACAAATTGGACCCATCAAACGTTGTACGTTAGAAAGAAACTCCAAGCTAAGTAAAACGAATTGAACTAAAACACTTCGTTCACCATTTTGTAATAATTTATGTTTAACCATCGTTATTGAACTTAAAGGTAATCCAAGTCAAAATACATGTACAACACATTTTTATCCAAATTTTTGTCATTAATTCTAATTACGGAATTTCGGAGAAAATATTTAAACACCAATTTTTAATATTTGGAAACACTACCATAATTCGATGATTCACAGTTCAAATGAAAAAATAAAAAAAATAATTGAAAATATTGACAGTGTTACCATATTTCATAAATGCAACCAAATGGAACCATTTATTTAAGAGATAGCACACTTCTCTTTAATTGTTATGAAATTCCATAATCGTAAAAAATTAAACAAAAATAATAAGAAGAAAAAAACGTATAATTACAAAACGTGGGAAGACCAAAACAAAACTTTATAGTAAAATAGCCAGTAATATGTTTCCAGTCTCATTAAATCTTATTAAAACATATTCCGCGACAGTTTGAATGAATGAATAAAAAACTGTTTAATTGATTTATGAATAAGTGAAAAACATATTGAAAATAGGTAGAACAAAATTGCTCGAACATAAAAGAAACGGTCTGTTAATCCACAGACCGATATAAATTAGTGCAGTTAAATTTTAGAAGCGACACTTAATAAACAGAACAGCGATATATCAATATTCATTCATCCATGATTTTGATACACATTTTTCTTTTCTTTTTAATATTCACTGAATTTATCGGCACCCTAAATAGAATTAAAACGTTTTCAACATTTCCATTAAATGGCAACGATTACAAAATCTTTGAATCAAATTTAATGTCACATTTTCTTCTCAAATGTCAATCTTACGCAACTGTTGCCGATGCTATGAATATTAAAAGAATATTTTCCCCAGTGTGGACTCTTCGAATAAAATTACTTGCCTCGAGATAAATGCAAAATATGTTCAAATAGCAACTGTTTGAACATTCACTGTCATTATTTGATGGAATAAAACATAAAAATGAATCACATTTAAGCAAAATATTTTAACGGATTTTAACAATCGCTGTTTTTTTCGAATTTCCATTATATTTGTTGTCACTAGTTAATCCAATATAATATATCAAAATTCTTTAGACTCAATCATTCAATATATTCTAACAAAAAATAAAACAAAAAAAAAAAAATCGACGATTCAAAAGTGCACGAATGCCATTAATATTATTATTATTATCTACGAATCTTTTACACAAAACTACTATTATAAAGTGATGAAAAATGTCTGCTACCATTTCTACCATAATAAGATAAACAATTTAATTACTTATTCTACTGGTATCATCTCTATTGATCGATTGACCTTTTTCCAAATGCATTTCATTTCGCGAAAATAAAGAAATTACCGAAAAAATTTATAGACCTTAACAAACAAAACTTTTATCATGTTTGTTAATCGTGAAATATACAAGCAACGTTGAATATTTATCATTAAATGAAATATTCGTTTCACTCGATTCAATTTCCAATTCAAATAAAAAAATTTATTAAATGAAAAAAAAAATTCGATATAAATTTCAAAATACAACGCAAATAAACCATGAATCAATTCCAACACCTTTTTAAAAGTTAACGATAAATAATTCAAACCACTTTTTTAAACCTTACCCACTAAGAATCTCGATTAATCGACATTCGTTTTATGACTACATATGTTAAATCAATTCAAAAAACACAAACAAATATCATGAACATTTATGCAAACGATTTCGATAATGTGCAATTTGTAAAATTTTACTATTTTACGATGTTTGTTTAAAAACATGAACAATCCATTTTACCAAATGAACATGACAGACGACCAGAGAAGTCTGTGGATATTCTCCATTTTCACAACTTTTCAATGGTTCGTTCGCATTCTGATTTAGACGCTAATGGAATACCTCATTCACCTTGATTTCATTCAATAACTGAATTCAAAATCAAAGGATCCTTCACCAACGCAAGGAACCTTTATAGTTTGTGCTTGAATCCAGTGAATGAAGCCAATGGGAATGAACTTTTTGGCAGTTCTTCGAACATCTGAATCGACAAGCAGATGAAGCACTTGAAATTGTCCAGAGTATGGAGCTTCAACAGACTTTCAATGGCATCCATAATTCATTAAAAATTAATGATTTAATAGCTCTACCCCCATTTCAAGACAGGATCATCCTTTTATTTATAATATTTCCGTAGATTTTTTTAATAGATATTTTTTTTTGTACTATCAACTATTTTTTAAATAAATTTTTTTAGTTATAATCATGATGTTTACAGTAATGCAAGTATTTAAATTGAATTAAGTCTATTTATTGTATTTCAGTTAGTATTATGATCTATGTGATTTCTTTTGTTAAATTTTGAATTTTGAACATTTGTTGATGAATAAATACGAATTTATGCATTGAAACGCTATCGAATTACTAAGGAGTAGACTTGTTCTTTAATTTTCAAAACTAAACTAAACTAAAAAAAATAATAATTCAATCAGCAACCTTACACAATTTGAATCGTGTTATGTGTTTGATAGCATTTTAAGTGTATCAAATGTCCACTCAAGAATGTAAATTGATGTATGATGATTTCAGAAGAAGAGTGAATTGAAACGTGGTTGTTATTGCATATTGATGTATTAAAATCGCGTTGCAAACATTGAAAATTCTTCTTTTGACTTTTTCATTTATAAAAAAAATATATTTATTAAAACTATTGATTTATGCCGTGAAATAAAAATGTCAAAATCTCACGTACAATTTATATATAAACATGTCAAGTATCTCATATAAATCGCAGAATAGAATTTCAAACTTACACGTTTTATATCGTAGTCTCCGATATTGAACAAGAATATTTATTTATTTTTTCTTGGTAATAGTTTTGCTGCACAACGGCACAATGAATAAGAATATGCATTAGCTGAGAGAATATTCCGAATATTTTGCAAAAATGTGAAAGAAAATGGTTAGACTCTTATTTTTAAGTGCGATAATATATAACCCGGGCTTTCAAATCCCATTGCAAATATGAGTTTAAACACAATTTAAGAACTAAGACAAAGTATGTAAGAGCATACGAATATCAACGGATTTTCTAACAATTCAACATTTAAATGAATATCCGCTCTCTGTTTTTCGTCAATATAAATAAACAATACATTTTCCACTCACACATTACTCTGCGCGAATAGCTCAATTTGCAAATCAAAAATCTTAGAACGCATTCGAATATATTACAAATTTTGAATAGCTGAATTTGTATACCAGACAAGAAATTCCAAACATTCGAAATCACACAAATTAAAAAGAAAAAAAAAACACTTCTGCGTGTTAGTTTCAGTCCATTTTATTGAATCATACTTTTATCCACTCTACTTTGACAAAGCTACACTTCAATCAAAGTTCAAGTGAAACTGGGGGCCTTTAACTTATACGGTTATATTGTGCACATTGCAGCCCATCAATACAAAGTGCAAGTATATACAGTGTTAACTGAGTTAAATGTCCTTAGCATCAATCAATTACCATAAATTATTGTATTCAGAATTATATAAGAAATCATTTCAAAGTGCATTTGTACTAAATAAAATATTAAATACATTTTAAAACTCAAACCAAACGATACATTTAAAACGCTTTTTATTTATAACAACAACAAAAAACGATATTTAAGGTACTTTTGTAAAACTTCTATGAAAAAGGTGAGACTATGTAAGACAATTTAGTACGACTTTTAGGGAATTTGGTAACACTTTCGGTAAGTTTGGTACGGATTTTGATTTATCCTGAAATTAAATTAACTGGGTACACTACACTTTGTTGCGATCGAATTATTTTAAGGGTTGTATATTATTCGCATAAATACTTATTTTCGTACAATAGAATACGGTGATTTATGCTTTGGTTTAAGTTTCTTTAATTATTTGCTTTGTATTAAATCAGTGTAATGGCTAAAAAATGAATGGCTAAAATTGGAATGACTTCAAATATTGATACGATAAATTGAGAGACGGAATTTTATTATTAATACCTACAAGCTTTAAATTTTGTGACCAAACAAAAAAAAAATACCTAGAACATCCTTAAATAAACCAATTTGTGGACCGTATTTGGCCATTCTTTAAAAAAAGAAACAAGTGAATAGGGGCTACGATTAGAATACAACGAATCTATATTTTCATGGATTTCGCGTATTGGCCGCAATTCATCTCTGTTTGATTGCCTGTTTAAGAAAATGGCTTTGATTCATACTAGGTATTGACCGGCCAATGATTAAAACTTTTTACTAAAAAAGCACGCTTATTAATGTGTAGCTTGTATAAATGTGAAATTTTTTAGCTCATAAAATGATTGACTTATGGTCTACCCAGCAGAAGGATTTCTTCTTCTTGTGTTCAGATGCATTAGTTGTGAATCTTTATTTTATTTAAAAATAACATAATCATAACCGTTTCAATAGACTACACAAAACGGATTTCAATGAAGAATTTTTCAACGTTTTTAGTTCAATAATTTCCATGTAAACAAAACTAGCGCTGTCAGCAGTAGAAGGTCTCACATCATCTGTAATGTAAACCACACAATATATCTTAATGAAATCTTTTCAATGTGAATGTCTTCTACTTCGGATCCCATTTTTTAAATAAAAGTTCATAAACCGTAATATTTTTAAAATAAAAAAATGCTACAAAAATTGTCAGAGTATGAAACTTAACAAATGTCTATATCGACATTACGAAGTGTCACATTTGACAGATGTAAATACCAAAATCTAAGACACATGTTCGCCGGAGATAAAAAAAGTTTTTTTTAGAGATGACATTTGAAACTATACATTACGCAATAAATACAACACATTGGAATATTTTTGTTTTTAATTTTAGTGTTTTATTAATAAATAATGGAACGTGTTATGTATATCAATAGTTTAGTTAGTAATAAAAATCGCCTTTTATTTCGGCTTCCAATTTACCAATACGTAATTGGGGAAAGAAATTTTAGTGCGTTGAGGAACTGTAGTTCAGGTATGTTTGGGTGTAGCTTCGAACGGTGAATATTTCGATTTGATAAATGATAAACTCTTTTCCATTTAATTTTTTAGCTTCAAGGCGAAATTTGTTATTTAATAATATTATTTGCCGGCAAAAAAGTTCAACACTCGACGAAAACATACAAAAAAATACTAAGCCAATAACACAGAGGAGAATAAAAATTATTCGAACAGAACAAACGAATGTTACACAGCGTAAGTTAAAAAAATCTCTTTAAAATCACATTCATTTTGACGAAATTTAACATTTCAGTAACTGATGCAACATTCAATAACCAAATAAAGCGGCCGTTAAAATTGATGTCACGTGTTAATTTACCACGATTTGTCAATGATACAGCAAACTCAAATCAAAATGAAAATTCACAAATGTTGTCTCTGAATGAAGAACCAGTGATATATATACCCGAAAGTTTTAAAACAAAATTGCAGAACAATACGGAACTAATACACAAATTTATGGACAGTTTTGAAAAATTTGTTAAAGCTGTACCGCCACCAGAAGAAAGAATTAAGAAATCTAAATTACCAGTGAACCAAGAAGATTCAGATCTTCAAAAACAGTTTGATTCATTTGACCATGAAAAGCATTTGCATGCGTCATTGACTCAAAATTTAAGGTGTTATATCAATGCGTGTATTAGTGAAAATCTTACGGATCGTGCATTTGCCGTTTTAAAATCGATCAGAGCAAGTAATCACATTGAAAAACGCGAATATACGCTGAAAGATTCCATATTGTACATTGATTTAATGGCTAAATATGCTGAAATGGTTAAATGGTCTAGTGTTGATGAAATTTATAATATTTTGGTGGCGGATAAATTGCCAATTACACCACAAGCTTATATGAACATTTTCGATTGCTTGGGTCGCATGCAAGAGTCAGACAAAAATTTAACACTAATCAAACAATTTGAGAAGAAAGCAGAACAACAGGTATGATAAGAGAACAGCTTTAACAGACATTTTACTGAATTTTTTTCAGCCATCTCATCTGTCTTTCTCTTTTTCTTCGTGTAAATATCAGTAATGTGCGAGCTCAGATTCTCCGAGGAGGGTGATCTAAAAGATGAATTCTTAGCGTTCTTTTCACTAAAAATGTTAAAATTTTCATTTTTATTAAAATTGAAACCAATCCCCATTAACCTTTACCGCACATTGCTGCAGCACAGTTACTTCATCGGCTTAAAAATATATTTGTAAAATGTCTGTGCTTATAACTATCATTTTTGCGTCAATTTTATTGCTATGTCAATTGTTATTTGTGGTTCCAGGGTATTTCGCTGAACGATATAATGGATAAATCGACATTTATCAAGAATCAACGAACATTTGTGTTGCAAGCCATGCGAAGAATTCATCCATCCTTTGTGCCGGTTTACTCACCGCCACAATTGGTCTATTCAAACAAATTGCTGGACTCTTTGAACGAAGGCATTCAAAGTATTGAAGTACCTCCCACAGAAATGGTAGGTGCCAACATTTATGTCGATTTTTCATTTTGGAAAAATAAATTATATGCATTATTTCTAATCCAAAACCATTCCTCTCAATCTCTTCAGTTGAAAACAGAGAATAGCCACACAATCGCAAGACCACGAAGTGGTTTTAGTGCCGATGAGCTAAATGAATACACCGAAGAGCAAATTAAAAATGAAAAACAAGGTTACATCACTGTAAAAAACATAACAATGCTGGATTCATCAAAATATTCAAACGAAAACGTGATAACCCACCGCGAGATCCTCGAAAAATTGACAAATCAATGGCGAGCGGATATTTTGCATGCCATTCGAAGAAAAATGAGCATTTCACAGCATAAAGTGTACAGAAAGTCAACAAAATTGCTAAACATTTATCCGTACATGCGCCTACTCACACCCGACGAATACACAGACTTGTTAATCAATGAGCTAGAAGCACTGGCAGCTGTCTCTGATGCGCATTCGCCGACAGTTTTGCAACTTTACACAGAATTGGGTGCAAAAGTGATGAATCGTTACCACACAAAGTTGCGCGAACAAAATGGTATCAATGAAAAAGTTCGTTCGTTATATAAAATATATAGTGAAATTCTGTGCTCTGGAAATTGTTCAGACAATCCGCGACAGTTGTGGCAACGAATCATTCATCATTCGCGTCAAAGTGGGCCGTGCATATTTCAAAAAGATATTGTTTGGCCATGGGGTGTTAAGATTGACATTGGTAAATGGTTGTTTAAAATTTTATTAGACGATATCAAAATTGATGCAAATATTTTGAAAACAAAAAATACACAAACCAATTATGTACCCGTGCTATATTCATTGTTTCGAAATCGGAATCTACAAAGCTATGAAGAAATTCAACCACATCCAGTTTTTGCAAAATTATTGACGGAATCAAAGCGAGATACAATGATATTTAAAACAAATGAAGTGCCAATGCTTTGTCCACCGATCCCTTGGACATCGGGTGAAAATGGCGGCTATTTACAATCACTCACTGTTTTACTGCGATTGCCGTACAATTTTACGCATCAACATAATATGGTGTGTCAAACACCACAAGAACAATTATATCCGCCGTTAGACGCATGCAATCAATTGGGCAGTATACCTTGGCGGGTGAATACCACAATTTTGGACTTGGCTATTAAAGTATTCAATCTTGGGGGTAATAATAAGCTTGATGTGCCGTTGACGCCAGACGATATGGTAACAGATGAACATCTTCGATATCGCGGAATTACATGGAAACAATTTGAAAATATGAAAATTGAAAATATTGATAAATACAAAAAACAACAAAATGAATTGCTCAGCGTGTACACTGACACTTTGTATAAATTATCATTGGCGAATCATTTTCGAGATCGAGCAATTTGGTTACCAACAAATTTAGATTTTAGAGGAAGAAACTATCCAGGTAAGGAAGAGAGAGAAAGTTTTTTTTTAATTTCTTCGGAAAATTTCTTGAAAAAAATCCCGAAATTTTGGGAAAAAGTTTGTTAGGAAAAATAATATTTTTGTATAATATTACACGAAATTCAGTTTTCTGTTCAATTGAAGTAATACGTGCGTCTATCACCCTCCTTTTTTGTAGTGCCTCCACATTTAACACATCTAAGTGCTGATTTGACGCGTTCAATGCTGTGTTTCTATCAAAAACAACCACTGGGTGAAAATGGATTAGATTGGCTGAAATTACATTGCATCAATTTAACGGGATTAAAGAAACGAGCATCGGTCCACGATCGTTTGCTCTATGCCAATGAAATCATAGACGACATAATCGATTCGGCTGATAACCCATTGGATGGACGTCAATGGTGGTTGAATTCTGATGATCCTTGGCAAACACTAGCTGCATGCATGGAAATAGGCAGTGCAATGCGTTCGCCGAATCCAGCTGAATACATGAGTGGCCTTCCAATTCATCAAGACGGTTCATGTAATGGTTTGCAGCACTACGCGGCATTGGGTCGCGATGAATATGGAGCGATTAGGTAAGAAACGGTATCAATTTGAAAATTAGAACATTGAATTTATTTGTTTCTAATCTAAAATGTTGTGTATCTTTGATTTAGTGTAAATCTCGCACCATCGAATGTGCCACAAGATGTTTATTCGACCGTAGCAAATCGAGTTGAAGAGCTTCGCCAGATTGATGCTGAAAATGGTGTGAAAGTAGCAATCGAATTGGAGGGACTAATCAAACGGAAAATAGTCAAACAAACCGTAATGACAACAGTTTACGGTGTCACAACATTCGGTGCTACACTACAGATTAAAAAGCAATTGAAAAACATTGATTTTCCATCCGATCAATTGAAGGTCGCATCGTTTTATTTGATGCAGAAAACGTTTTTATCATTATCGGAAATGTTTAAATCGGCACGTGAAATTCAAGATTGGCTCACCGATAGTGCTCGTCTTATATCCGACAAAATTCGAATGCAACATGTCGAATGGACAACACCATTGGGTTTACCGATAATACAGCCATATATTAAGGAGAATAAACTAACATCAAAAGCGACAATTAAGTCCATAATTAATTCGAAAATGGTTGTTAATGCAATCAAAGAGAAAAATGGCTTTCCACCAAATTTCATTCACTCGCTGGACGCATGCCACATGATGTTGACGGCATTGAATTGTGAAAGGGCTGGCGTGACATTTGTGAGTGTGCATGACTGTTTTTGGACACATCCTAGTACAGTGCCGATTATGAATCAGATATGCCGCCAACAATTTATTTTACTACACTCACAACCCATTCTAGAGGATTTAGCCGAAGCATTTTATCAGAAATATGTAGTGTAAGTCAATTCAAATATTGAACATTGGAATTCAATTTGCAGATTGAGAAAATTGACTAATTGTTCTCTAATTCTCTTATTCTTATTTTACAGAGAATTCAATGAAAAGCAACAAAAAGAGACGAATAAAACGAAAAATAGAGGCAACAAAAAAAAAGAGGGCTGAAGAAAAAGTTGTTCCCAAGCACGAGCATAAATTCATGCAAATTCCGAAAAAGGGTGAATTTGACTTAAACAGTGTGAAAGACTCGACATACTTTTTCAGTTAAATGAACTTGAATACCAATTATTCAATATAGTATGTGATGTTGAATAAATACAAACAATGTTGCCATTTAAGAACAAAATTCAAAATTTCGAGTTTTATTTATTGATTTAGTTGTTATGCAGTAAGCATGTAATTCTCTTGTGATATCGATTGCGACGTCATTCGATATTCATTCCATCATTGTTTGACAATAAAAAAATTCAAATTTTCACGTGCGTCTTTTCGATATGAACTTTAAAGAAATCTGCATAGCGTATAATGCACCGAAAACTGGATAAAAGTAATAAATAATGTTTTCATACCCGCATTTATCCAATGTACAAATCTCAGCACGTATGTTTCGATTGATAGTGAGATTGTACTTTGCCAAAACTACTAATGAAATATATTTTACTCTTTCAAATATATATCAAAAGTCTTCTTTTTCAGAATATTGCAGCCAATACTGCTATCCCCAAAAAAATCATTTCAACAATACGCTGTTATTTGTCTTTAGTTTAATACAAATGATAATAGATTTCTTTGGTGCATTTTCAATTTAATGGCAATAAATATGGAACGTAAAAAGCTAACAGGAAACGAATTGAATCATGTAAATAACATGCTTTATTGTTTTTTTTTAGTCTCTGACATTAAACATATGTTTGAAAAAAAAAATATAAAATGGTTTTGGTTAAGAATAAATGTAGTCATAGTAATAAATGTTTGGAACCATAAAGGTTGTTTGTTGTCTTTTGATGCCAACAATGAGTGCTTTAATTTTCGAAGTCCAGAGCATGAATTCGATATTTTTGTAGTGGAGCCATCAAATTTTCGCGTTCCGTAATTTTCATTTTGGTCATTTTTTCCATCAGTTTTTGAAAGAAAACGCCGTCAAATTGCATGACCTCCTGAAAATTGCAAAGTTCGATAAATTACTCAAAAATGAATTAAGCTTTGTTGTCATATTAATTTATACCTCAATCGATGGAAGAAGGCCGGCGATGCCAAAATTATGTCGAACTTGTGAGAAAACATTGTTGTAAATATGTGCGGCGCGCACGTAACGAGTCACAAGTACATTTGGATACTGTGCATTTCCCGTTTCATCCAAATACACTTTGTACTCGGTGTACAAGATACCATCGGCCTCTTCAATGCTGAATATACCTTCCTAATGAAGTTAAAAAGAAATTGGTGAATATGTGAATCGACCTATTTGTATAAGAAAGAAATATACCTTGACCAAAGCATAAAGAATGGTGCTGATGAGCAAATATTTCTGTGGCAATTTCTTGATGGTAGAAATGACTTCTTCCGAAAATGACATGATCCATCCAAAGAGCTTCCAACGAATTTCGATGATTGCGATATCATCAAGTTCCTCGTTCTCGACATACAAGTCATCTATAGGTACCTCGACTGAAGTAAGAAAAGAGCGAGTTTAAAAAAAAAGTTGGCAACTGACAGTAATTTCAAAAACAAAAATTGACTTACAATCTGGGTAAATTGGAGTTTCTGTATAAGCCAGACAGTTTTCGTTGACATTTCTCTTCGCCAATAGAGTAAAAGTCAAAGACTTGTTGTTGTAACGCTGCAACAAAATGCCTTTTCTGCGTTTTATCCAGTCGTTTAACAGCTTTGGTATGTTAATAATCGCCTCGGAGCCACGCATATCGTAAAATCCAAGTGAACTTCCATATATTGGACACATGTTATCCATGTATATGCGATATAGTGCTGTGTTTTGTAGTTTTTCCTCAATTGGATCGTCAATAGCCGCTGGTATAAAATTGGTATCATATGATTTGATGCTGTTTTTAATCATTTCATTTTTTTCATCATCAGCATAACCAAAAACACGAACGACAATTTTTTGGATGTCGGAATCAGTAAGGTTTGCACGCCAAACTAGACGTACAAAGTTGGCGACGTTTTGAAATTTCATTCGAAATGGTCCCAAGCTTCCATGAAACTTTCCCAATTGATCGTAGCAACCATGCGTGAAATCATTACCGATCAAAGTTGCAAATAATGGTAGTTGATTCTGTGACAGTAAGCATTTGTTTGCAAGGCTATTTCGATTGTATTCAACGGTTGTCAGTCGATTGGCTGGAGTCAAACGAACATCTGATGGCGACCACAGTTTCCAAGCTCCATCGAATATAAGAAAATCGGTGTCGTTTGTTATGACCGCCAAACAGTTGTGCTGCTTAGCATACTGTGCAATTTCCAAATCGCATTCGTATTTTGTTGAGTAATGAAATTCACCATATCTTCTTGCAACCTGTGCCATTCCATAGAACAGTGATTTTAGTGTACACTTGTCATCGTTTTCAGCAACAATTCGCGATAACGGTAAACCGTGCTCAATCATATTATATAAATCAACGTTAGTCTGAAATTCTTGATCACGACGACCATTCCACACATCAATTTTTGCTTCTTGGATGCCTAAATCAGAAAAAAATACCAATTCACATCCAGTTGCTTGGAATGCGTCCAAAAGCTTCTTCCAGGAATTCAAAACGATTTGATGACGGCCACCGCAAATGGCATCGCTTTTGTCCGTCGTTATGCCAATTGCAAGGCTCAGAAAATCCACGACAATTATCGGCGTTTTTTGTGGATGTGCACTGTTGAACAAAAAAATGGATACTTCCACTAGTGAACATATATAGGCTACATATGCTGGTAAATGGGTGCTGAATTTCTCAAAAAATAGAGATTAAAAAAATTTCACCAAGTTGTGCAGTGTGTGGCATATTCTAAGTATGGTATGATGATCATGAGAGCCCACCCTTTACCAGCATATTTAGCTTTCTTATCGCGCAATTTTACCTTTTCCAGTTTTTAACTTCATCATCGATGTTTATTGGATGAATTTGATTATTACGCTCCAAAAATGTTTTTAATCCGCGAACACCCATTTTATGATTTTTTCAAAATAAAATAAATGCGAAAACAATTATTTGAATTTGGTTGATTCGAAAAAGATTTGTTTAAAATGATGAAATATCTAACATATCAGAACACACACTAAAGAATGTTCACGAAAAAATTATGTTCTGTGAGTGACTAATGCGATCGTTAACTAGTAAGTTGAAAAAAGATCCATACTGCATAGTATACTGCGACTCAATATTGAGTTACATGGAAATGACGCATATTTCAATTGAAAAACGCTGTATAAACAAAATTGTTTATAAAGAGATTAAGCATCTTCAAAGCTAATTTCGTTCTAATGGAATTAATTTTGTAGCCAATGTGTAATAGTTTTAATTAATTTTAGTTATCAATTTGTGCACAGAAAAAATACTGTAAAATATATTATGAAAACCAAAAAAAATATTCAAATTTGAATAAGTTTAAAAAAACGCTCATTTTGAAACTAATGCATTCAATTCGCCGTGCGTTCAATGTCAAGTGTATTGATTTGTCTGCCTTGAACGTATCCATTTCATTTTGTTATGAACATTTTCTTTGTGTTGTGAATACGACGAAGGTGTCATAATAGCAGCTGGTTTTAGTTATGGTGGACGTCGTTCAAGAATAAAGAAGTGGTGCGGCCGAGAAAAAAAAATTGACGATTTCTTTGTGCTATAATGACTGCAGTATGAAAAATATTCGCGAAATTTCAAACATTCTTTGTTCTGTTAAATCATAGTGAAGGCCAATGTGTGTGCGTGATATCGAAAAATTTCACTTTCGTTTTCTCTTTGTCGCTTAAAAACAACATCGAAATCAAAAGAACGAGCAACCATAATAGGCGAAGAGTGAAAGCACCGAACAAAGAAAAACCTGCACACTGATTTTGTTGTTCGGATGAACACGCACATACACGACATTTTCTGAATCTGGCCTTTAACTGTACACCTACAAAAATAGGCTCTAGTGCGTTGATTTATTGTTTTCTTTATTCGACCAAAAAAAAACACAAATATTGATTTCCAGTAGTTACATCATTAGTTACATTTTAGAGTAAAAATAGAAGAAAAAAAATAAACAAACGCGCACATCCGTCAAAACATAATCCATACTCAACAAATTGGTAAGAAACGCATTTTTTATATTTTTTTTTCCAAAATGTAATTTTCGGATTTTTTTTTTTTTTAATTTTTATTTTTATTGTTCGGAATAATTTATTCCAATACAACCTTGAAATGATGCAGTTATAATATTGTGTTTTTGTATGTTTAATTTGTATAGAAAGACGTGTTAACGTAGAGGCGACACCGTCGCAACCAACGAAACAGCAATAAACGTAAACAAAGATAGCAATCGCAGAACATACAGTTTGCTGTGGTGAAAGAAAGACAATAAATATATTTCATTCGGAGTATCGGATCGCACATTTACTACAACAAAAAAAAACGACAAGACATTTTATTTGATTGGATTTATTTTGGATTTTCATCAGAACCGAATTTGATTTAAATCGAAAGAAATAAAAAAAACAACAATTTCTGTTTAGCATAGAATGTCATCCAGTTGTTGTGGCACAAAGAAACAAAGAATGAATAACCAACATTGCAATCATACTCATGCCAAAACAAATGGCACCGCTGGTTCTTCAAACAGCACTCACAATCATGCCAGCAATCATAATGGCGTTTGCTCAAACGGTTATGGTGGCATTGAACAAGTTGCAAGCCCAGAAATGTGCTTCTTTTGTTTCGAAACTTTACACCGTAAACTCTATCATATTGATGACCCACCAGAAGCCAACTTCACTAACGAAGCCTAGTAAGTAGATTTTATTAATAATGGTGTCCACCTTCATTGTTTCGAAAATGTCACTCAACTAACTAATATTATGATTTATTCAAATTTCAAGCCCATTGTTTGTGACTTGGCATATTGGAAGAGATCGAAGATTGCGCGGTTGTATTGGAACATTCAACTCGATGAATTTGCATTCAGGTGAGTGAACATTTTGTGGATAGAAAGCTTTTTTTTTCGTATTTTCATCTTGAAATGTATGAATTGACAGGTCTCAAAGAATATGCACTCACCAGCTCATTGTCTGACAGCCGTTTCCCTCCCATTTCTCGTGACGAATTTTCCAAGTTGACTGTCTCTGTTTCAATCTTGCAAGTAAGATAAATTTCAATTTTCAAAATTCAGTGTGATTTGGTGGCCATTATGCTTACCATTGTACGTATATTTTGTAGAATTTTGAAGAAGCCGATAATTTTCTTGATTGGACTATTGGTGTACACGGCATCCGCATCGAATTTCTGAATGAGCGTGGTAGCAAACGAAGTGCTACATATCTTCCAAAAGTGGCTTCAGAACAAGGTACATATTTTTATAAGACATTTTTTTTTCAACAAATTATAATCCAACAATAAAAAATTGCTTGATATTTTAGGATGGGATCAAATTCAGACAATTGATTCTTTGCTCCGTAAAGGCGGTTATCGTGGCCACATTTCGCCTGAAGTTCGGGAATCGATTAAATTGACACGATACCAATCATCTGAAACCCACATGACCTACGGAGAGTATCGTGATATCTATGATCGTCGCCAATCATCCAAAGTTGGTGTATGCTAACGCTGTAAATTTCATCATCATGACAAACCAGATACAAACACAAAGTAGTAACCACTGCTGCTCAAAATATGTTGACTACATTCGAAAAGAATGCGGTTTGTCATTTGTCATGAAAATACACGTTTAACATATTTCGACGATTTCCCCTTAACATTAATATACGTTCTTTTTTTTTCAAATCAATTTATTCTTGCGATTTAAATGTTTTTATTTTTAATATTTTTAAAATTTCAAACACCCGCATATTACATCCATTTCTGAATAAGAATAATTCACACATCTCATGGCAATGCCAAACAAATGTTATTAAACAAATTCAAAACGCGGTTGTGACTTGTCACAATCAAAGATCAGACGGTACTTGTCAATTTCATATTCAGAAATGTCACTCATCAATGCGATGAACAATTACTTAAAATTAGTAATCATTTGAAATAGATCTATATACTATATCAATAACCTTTAAAAAGAAATGAAAATGAAAAACAGAATAATATTTTTGAAATGACGAAAAATTTAGAGGATAGTAAGGTAATTAGATTTTAAGAATCGTCGAAATTCAGCAGTGAAAATTTATTATTTTTCCTATTTGAACATAAATTTTGTTGATTTAACTCCATTTTTTTTTTTTCATTTTGAATTCTCAGTGCAAATAAACAAAATATTTGCCACTAATTTGGTCATTTTTTTGTTGAATGTTTTCCATTAAGATATTGAAAAGGAAAAAAAAGTGTTACTTTTTTGGCTTCATTGATTAATTTGTATTTTTGTTTTCCTAAATTCCCAATTATCAATGTGATGCTATTCCACTGCCAGGTTATTTTTACGACATCAAAATAACAATCGAAATAAGCGAACAAACGGAATAAATTACAGTCAAAAACTAGTGATTTTGTGTTTTCAATTAGATGAACCCTCTTTGAATAGTCATAAATATATATATTTATGTGGAAGGTACTTTTGTATTTTGTTAATAATCCATGTTCAAAATTGAAATATTCTTTGGTAATAACAAAACAGAAAAATCGACGTTTTTTGTTTAGAGTAAAATGAAATGTATGTCATTGAAATCTAAATTAAATTTCTTTATTTAAATCGTCTAAAAAAATGTGATTTCTATACTCCAATAAGAGTGTTCCAGCCACTACATGCATTCGTTTCAACATTAACAATCTATGATTCTTCAACTTCGACCTTTTGCTCGCGCTTGACAATTGCTTTTTGCAAATAAAAGAAATGATTTTCCTCCATGTGTGTGATGAAAAAGGCCAAGAGCGTTTGAAGACCAGCATTTATGCCCATTCTATATTGCAACGGTTTGTAGACTTTTTTACAAAAATTCCAAAAGTTTTTGGTATCACTTATTGGCGATGGGATGCGATACGTGAAATGTCTTGTGGCAAACATAAATGTTGAAGCTGGCACTAAAATCAACGGTTGAATGAGACCAAGACCCACTTGTAAAGCAGCTGCCTTTGTAGATTTGCACAATGTACATCCAAATGGATCCACATAAATGTCCTTTTGTATGAACTGCCATATTAAAAAGAACATTTTAATTATTGCAATGGAAAAATACGGAAAACAATCCAATATTACCATTGTATGGAAGGTGGACACTATCAGATATGGTAA